AATTCTTGACGCGATTTTGTAACGAATACCGTTACTCGGTTCCGGGCCTGCCGCTGACCTTATTTCTCGGCCGCGCACTCTTTATTTCTGTATCTTATTGCCCGACACATTATAGCCGCTGACTTGCTTACCGTTTACGTTATTTTGAGTGCTATTAAAATTAACCGAAACGCTGCTCCGCAATCGGTATTACGCATGAGATAAGTAGGGCGCGGATCGCTTTCAATCGTCACCTGAAATTAGCTCGGTTCCGTGACTGAGCCACTTGTTAATGAACCGCTATTTGGTTTGCTAGTTGACAAGTTGCGAATGTGTATTTTTTGCGCGCTACGTAACGCTATTCATGTTTGCTTTGGAAGCCGGTAAAATAGAGTGAGGTTGTTTACGAGCTTCGCCGGCCGGCGTCGGCGTGAGTCAGTCGCAGGTTCAATTGAGCTGATTTCGCGTAGCATGCGAGCGGATTTGCCGGTCGCCGCTCGCGCCCGTGTAAATATCGAGTGACGCAGGCGGCTCCGAGCGACGCGTGCGCATACAGCGGGGAATACCGCGTCACAACTCTGATAACGATGACTTGTGCATTGAAAATTCCAGTTTCAGCAATTATCCTTAAATTGATGACGTCATTGTTTGGCTTTCCGCTAGTGCGCATTTCATTTAGCTAGAGACATAATTATTTTATTTGTTATCTTCCGACTTGTTTTGATGATTCGAGAGCCATGTTTTATCTGAGCGTGACGTAAACCACACTGCCTACACAACAGGTTACACGATAAATAGGCATAATAACCAAGGTGTAAACAAGTGGTTATTTTGTTTCAAATAAGCCAATACTTAATAAATATCAGATTTTAAATGCGTTCAGTGTCGGCGTTATGTAAAAGTTATCGACGCATTGTAATGAAAGTCAATTACCTGGCGTGGAATTGCAGTTAACAACGAGCCATTGTTATTTATTGTTGAATAAAATTAAAAGTGATAGAGAAATGGTCGAAGCGAAAAATGTGAGTAGGAATCCGTTAAGCGCGTGTTTGAAAGCATGCATCGTTAAATAAGTTGTAAATGTTATTTTATGAGTGAAAAGTGCAGTGGCACGAGGCGCGTCATGCTAATATCGCGTGCTACGTCACTATCTACGCAGCGCGATGCGCGGGCGCTGCCGGCCGGCTTCCTAGTTGTGTCACCACGCTACACTACACCTCTAATGCGCCATCATCATAATTTATTCTAACTTTCATAAGTCAGGTTTCTATTATGCTACTTTAAGACACATATTTCGTAGCAAAAATATATTAGAATTAGCCCAAAAACAATTAAATGATAATCGTATTTTACAAACATCTTCATATCTTATTTGTAAACGTTTATCGTTCCGTTGGCCTTGTGAACGGATTTTATACATTTTAACGATCGAGTGCATTACCATAAAAGCAGTTTTTACTCAATATTGTAAATAAGAGTCAGCGTCCGCGTAATAAAGTTGAAATCAAACCTTCGAAAGACCTTGTCGATCGCAACCGGCTGCGGGTAGCGGGTCAAATGGGTGATTATAATTTATCTCGAAAATGTGTACATTCGATATTGTTGTGTACAATACAAATAGTTGGGACTAATTGTCGACCAATATTCGGGCGATAAGCGCACGAGATACGCGGTAATGACGCAGGAGCTCGCCGGCCGGCGCTCATTCTTTTGAAAACATTCACGCCTAGCCTCGTTGTACTCAGTTGCTAACTACGCTATTTGAAACCATTAAAATATTTAAAAGACCAATCAAAAGAGTGTTATTCCAAAGTACATTTAAAAACAATTGAAGCAAAACTCTACAATGGCTATAAACATGCCATAATGGCGTAGCGACACAAAATTAACAACATAGCAAAAGCTCTTCTAACAAAACAAATGACTCACGTGCTACGACTGAAATATAACACAAAGATTACATGAAAAAGTATGAATTCAATTGATTTGACCATTAGGTACATTTATACTGAGTTGTTACGTTATGTATACGGAGTTTATTGTAGAGTTTGGCAGATTTTTGACGTTTGTTAAAGATGGTGCAATCCAGCCTTAGCTTTACTGTGGTAAAGTTTTATATGATTAGACTCTACAATAGGATGTACCGGCATTATGATAGTTATTAGCGCTGGCAGAGGCGTCTACCTGTTACTAAGACCGGTGCGTAGAGTAACGGTGCGGCCGAATTTAAGAATTTAGCGCACACTAGCCATTACGAGCTTCGGAACGAGCGTTGGCTTTTAAGTAGCCCCTTGTTACTGAAGCACAGAAGCCCATCATGAGAATGCTTATAACTGAATCACCGTTTTGTCTCTTTATATCTGAGTGATTTGGCTGAAATTAGTAGTGTTTCAGACATATCCAATATACTTGAATGTTAATAATATGTTAATTGTGATTGATTAGTGAATTGTCTTACGTCAACTGCCTGTATTTATTCTATGCCGTTATTTTTTTTGCAAAAAAACAATGCAACAGGAAGTGTGCATAGAATACAAATGATTTGAGCCATGTTACGAAGTATAATAGTGAGTATTTTGTTAAATTCTTACTTCCTACTTCTGTAAAAAAATATTAGGATCTCTCTTACTACTGCGCCGTAGCTTGTAACTAAAACGCAATATTTTTTATGATGTTATATTTAAATCACTTTTATCAATGAAAGCAGTAATGTTTTTGTTTGTTAGTACATATTGCGTAGCGGAAGCCATTGTATATCTTATCTTTAAATAAGCAGTGCATACTTTTTGAGGTGCCAAAATGTATGTTGCGTGGGTAAGATGTGGAATAATGATAATATTATGATAACGTTAACCTTCGCCATTATCAAAATAATATACTCTATCATTAATATAAATTATCTGGTAAGAGAAGGATTACTTTCAAACCCGATTACTGAAGGAACGTGCCAATAATCTTAATTCAAAACGTGTCAAATCGGACCTTGTACGGCATTCATGTGGATGCTTCATTACATATCATAATAGTTACATATGTCACTTCGGCTTCTAATGTATTTATGTTGTCATTTATTACGATAAAGTTATCTATCGAAGTTACGGAAAACCGCATAGTGGTAGATTTAAAGGCTGTTTGCCTACCTATTCATAGATAGGTACTGTATCGGTCCACGATAACGTTTATCACACCGCAGCATGTTTTACAACAAAGTGGACCATGGGACTCAAAACCTAAAACTACATGCAAGTGATATGATGACCATTATGCCGAATGACAGAAAGGAAAATACAAAATAAATTATAATGAGAAAGGTGTGATTAATTTCTGTGAAGTTGCTAATGAATAATTATGTTTCATATTTAACTACGAAATTTTAAGTTGCACCACCTAACTTTGACCGTAACTATATCGATTACTTACTACTTTTTGTATGGAGTTTGACAGATTTTTGACGTTTGTCAAAGTTAAAGTAAGATGGTGCAACCCAGCCTAAAATGTTCGTCGAAATATTAAAAATTTGGGAATGTATCACACAAGTTATACTGAAAACTTACAAAGAAAGATTGAGGTGCATAACTTTTAATTGCATTGCAAATTAGGAAGCCAGTACGTTAAAATTAAAAAGAAATGAAACAAAGAGACGAAGTCGCCATTGATATGTAAACGGCAATCGTGATCAAGACTTATGATAAATGGAACAATCGGTGTCATGAAAACGTCGAGTTATTACCAAGTAATTAGTAGTTAATCTTGTAGCATGCGTCAGATGCACCGCGGGGTGGGGGGAGGGCTGCTACACGTGTGGAAGGGTCAATAGCAGCGCTTTGTCCACGCACCGCGCTGCGCCCGCGCAATGCGCATTCGTCTTTGTTTGCGTGCAACATTGTTGCCGGTGCGATTAGAGCGCGTGTAGAAACAGCCCTTTTTATGCCTTAAATTTTGAATTTACATATTTTCAGCGCAGATCAACCGACAGACTTAATTTGGCATTTCCTTTCATTGGATTTGTGAGCAGGGAATAAACTCAAGCTGTTTGTAATATTGAATATGCAAATTAAAACTGACACGACTTGATTAGATCACGTAAAACGTCACTCGAAAATTGGTTTTGAGATAAAATTTACTATTCTTGAACCTCTTTAACATAATTTATATTAAAAACAGAAATACGATTGCTAAATTAGCACTATTGTTGCAAAAACAAAGCGAGATAACGAAAAATATCACCGCACTGAATAATTAATTGAAAATAATTTTGAAAAAAATATTCGTTGATGTCTTTTCTAGGGCCGTTTTGATTTCGGATGCGAACGAGACAAACGAAATTAAAAATTACTAACTTATAATAATTATTTAAATAAAATATTTGTATGGGGAAAATACCACAAATAAACTATTCAGTCATTTATTACATCACAGCTTGTTATGATATAAAACGAATTGTCCGCAATGAATCACAGCGTCGCATCGTACGCGTTTAAGTGTTATTTAATAATAAATAAATAAATAAATAAATAAATCTTTGGACAATTTCACACAGCGCCAGCTAGCCCCAAACTAAGCAACTTAATGCTTGTGTTATGGGTGCTAGCTTAACGGATATACTACTTATATACTTTTTTTTTAAATACATAAATATTATACATAGTCACACCCATTTGCACATGGATTTTCCAATTTCTGAGGTATAATAAATATTATGTGTTAAATTCTATGAAGCAACACGTAGCTCACACAAACATCCTAGGCATGTAGAGACACGCTTAAGAAATCTCGGCCGGCGCGGATTGTAGAGGGCTTTGACAGAGGGATGAACAAAAGGGGGTTAGTCCCAACGGCCCCGGTGGATCTGCCCCGTCAACGGGGTGGATGGGAAAAGGTGTTTCAACGACCCCGGTAGTCATAGTCTTAGCTATACTCTATAGCTATGACTACACACTTTTTCCCATCCACCCCGTTGACGGGGCAGATCCACCGGGGCCGTTGGGACTAACCCACAAAAGGACAAAAGGGGTACCAACCTCGGCGGCGGGCGCATGCACGAGGACGCCGAGCTCGTCGGTGTCGTGGTCGTGGCTCTGCACGTCGGCGCGCACCTCGCGCCCGTTGTAGGTCAGGTACACGCGCTGGCCGGGCCGCAGCCGCACCCCCGCCATGCCCCGGAAGCCCGGCCCGATCAGCTCCGCATCACGGTACTCCCGGGTCAACTTGCCACCATCGAAACGCACGGTATAACGAGTATTCGGCGTCAAATTAATACAGTTGTTGTTCTCCGCGAAAGGAGCCGGCGTCTTCACTGCCTGAATCATCCCCGAGTAGTATAAACCGTCCTCCCCGAGGGCCGCGACGCGGGTCCCTATGATGGACCGCTTCGCCAGCCGCTTGCCTGTCGACATCGTTGCAGTCCACACGGCACTGTCCAAACACCGATACACAACTTCAAATCGCCCGGCGAACGCGTTTCGCGGGGTAGCCGTCGCAGAATTTCAGATTTCGACGCGATTCACGCTGCACTTCCGGCACTTCAGTGGGCCGGGGCTGGTCGCGGGTCTCGCGCGGAAACATAATACGCGGGCGGGTCCTCGATTGGGACAAAGGGGAATCCTTTCGCGATAGTAAACTTCGCACGTGAGCTCACAGCGAACGACCTCAACTGACGCGGTTCGGATGAGAACTGGCTGGCGTGCGTGTGGCGCGAATAGCGGACGCCGACACCGGCCGGCCGGCACGGCGAGCGGAATCGGCGTCGGCTATCTCGCTCTTTTGTTTTGATACTCAGCTGTTTGCTGGAGCGAGACGCCGCGCGGCGGGCACGATGTGAGGGAGGGGGAAGGCTGCACTCGTGTGTACGGTTCGGGCAGAGCCGGGAAAGTTCGGTCACAGTAGATATATGAGCTAAAGCAGTACGGAAACTTAGCCCTTTCGGCGAGTTAAATACCTACACCTCAACTGAGTGTTAGGGTTGGCACTCTTAATCTTTATAAAATTAATAAGGTTCTGACTTACTTATTTGTTAAAACGTTTATTTAGGTTTTTTAATTATCAAATAATTAGGTTCTATAATGATTGAATACATAATCGAATAAATTGATTAAGTACTATTAGAGGCCGGTAGAAGATATTCTATTCTCATAAATAAAATACCGGATACTTACTTTCACATAGCTATTGACTCATTTTAAATACAGTTCATCACTTAGTACAAAGGCGCGCGGAGCAATTTATTTTATCAAATAGAACACATTAATTGTTAAAAAGCGTAATTACGTAATTTAAAAAGAACTATTACAAAATCAGATGTAAGCACTTTATTTAAAAAGTAATATTTATTCATTTTTACAATTCAGAGTTATTACGAAGTTTAAAAATTAAAGTTCTGGTTTTGAAGATGCCGAGTTAAAGTTTTGAAAATACAGCGGACAGTGCATGCAATAAAATTATTATTAGAAACACAACGCGCGCGCGCGACACTCGCGACGGATGGACTGCGAGGTTCGCTTAGAGCTCGTGTAAAGCGTGCGTCTGTGTGCGTGAGTCTGATTTCGAGCGTTTGTATGAAGCTTCCGTACTGTTTGATTTATCTACTGTGGTTCGGTCGGGTTCGGTCGCTATTTTAGCCGCCCACGGGCGACATTGAGGCGCGCCTCGTTCGCACGTGGAGCACTAACGGGATTGCACAACGCACCTCGCCGGTGCCCGCTCGCTGTTAATTCGTGACACAGTTTCTATTAGGATTCGGGGTCGATTCAAATGTCAAGCAGATGCACCCACTTATGCAACTTGCGTGACCCCGCCGACTACGCACTGAGCCATTAGGCTACTATGCAATAACGATTACATACTAAGTATCATCCAGAAAGTAGAGCTGATAATCTGTTTATTTCATTCACTTTACGAGTACTATCACTATCAATCTGCATTTTACTAGTTCACACGTGTAGAACATGCAGTCTATACTACGAAAAACGACTACAAGACATGCAAATTAACATAATCGTAAAAGAAAAACACGCATTCACTCTATATTCATATAGTAGGTACATATGCGGACTTGCGTCATTTTATCTCATTAACAGTATTTGTTTTAAAGCCATTACTTAAAACATAATACAATTTGCTTGTACGTCTAAGTAAATATAAAACTCTATATATAGTACATGTATTTTTAAACTGTCTCGAACTTCAGCATTTCTCATCAAAATATTCAAAAAGTATTTTTATGACATAATTAACTTAAATAGTTCAGTAACTATGTCGGAATTTACTGCTCTACATCTTATAGTCACCCGGTAATAACCTTAATAAGGCGCATTTTGAGATTTAAAATTAAAATGTTTACTTTTTAAACTTAAATAAGGCGCATTTTGAGATTTAAAATTAAAATGTTTACTTTTTAACCTTAAATAAGGCGCATTTTGAGATTTAAAATTCAAATGTTTACTTTTTGTCAAGTTTACGGTTAGCATAGTAAACAGAGCCCACACTGCCCACGTTTCTTTCACATTTCTAAGGCAAATTGATGGTCAGTTGTTTACATAAAATTGTTGACGAACTCTACCTATCACGTTAGTGATAATTTGTTGAAAATTGCTGCGTGATAATTATAATTATTGGTGTTGAAGTAAAACTAATGCAATGGAAACTATTCTCACGTCAATTTACCAAATACTCTTTATGATACTTTTTATTTTTCGTCTAAATATTTCATGATTGAATTGTTTACTCAAGGGCTTTATGTCGTAATATTTTAATTGGTACTAACGTAAACAAGGGAAAGTGTTTGAAGAGGTTTCGTAATATGCCTCCTCCATGAAACAATGAAATGTCAAGGTTGACGTACCGTAGCGGTGATGTGCGGACGGAATTTTGGACTTGTGAGCTACGAGAGAATGTAATCGATATGACGTAGCTGAGAGACGAGGCATGTGCGTACTTAGATATCAAAGCGAACGAGCGTTCAAGAGATTTGAATTAGAAATTTTATTACATAAGCACGCATCATTACCGTTTATTTCGCAAGCAGTTTCACAGCTCATAGTAGCTAGCTTCATTTAAAAGCAATTTGTAGAACGAATCCGAGAACAGCTATTATTTTAAACTAAACAGATTCTTAATTAACACAATTGTCACCTTGCATCAACATAACGTGTGCAATGCCAAGTCAAGTAATTCTGCATATAGGGAACTCTACGGACTTAATTACAAGATAGGAAAATTGTTGAAATTACCAACTGTAAACTTAACTCAGGAAAACCAACTTATCTCGTCGCACCAGCTAATTGATCTTGATATTTGCCAAGTAACAGGACAAAGGCAATGAAGATAACACTTAAGTCGTCTTCGTCTTAAAAGGGCAGATAAAGTTTTCCGCCTCCGGACCGCTACGTAGATTCCGCAGAATAAGCCCAATGTCGCTGTAATACGCCCTTCAATATTTAATTCATTAACATAGGATTAAAAACTATCCAACAGATATATTAATTGATAATTTGATAAGCATGTTTACGTTATTATTATCGGACAAAGAACGTCATCTATCGCGGTTGGGGAGCTCTACATTCTACACTATTATTTACGTCTTATGAATATTTCTCCCATGTGTAATCTACCTATGTGGAATATCCAGATTAATTTTAGGAATATCCAAAATTAACGATAAATACTGACATAAGTTGATAATACCTACATCTTGATAAATACAATTATAGTCTTATCTTCGTGAATGGTGTTTGTATTTAGTTATTAATTGTTGTAGTTATTAATTGCTCTTTTTATATTGTGTCCTGAATCTATCTTCTCGGATGGTTTTTCTTTTAGCCTAACTTCTTAATGTCGGTGACTAAATGTCGATGTTTTAGGCACAAACATTTTATATCTCAATGAATAGCTACAATTTTAAGCACATGTACATTAATAATGTTAATAGGAATGTAATGGTCTATTAACTAATTGAATACAATTAAATTATTGCCATAAGGATCTGAGAAGGCTACACTTTTACAACATTGATTCGGATGCATTTAATGTTTGTGTTAAAGATAACTGTATATTATGAATAAATCTATCATAATGTCAACGGTGTGACATTGATCTTATCGCGGTAGCTTGGTAACGCGAATAGGTAGCGCGTATGGAAATCTTATCACAGTTTAATAATATCGCGAGGAGAGCGATTGTTTCAAGAGGCCAATGTTGAATCTAACAGGAAATAAACTATAGTTATAATGGTTTGTAATAAATCATTCAGTTTAGTTATAAAACTGGAAAAATGTGCAGGTTTAGTGTAATATGTAAACACTAGGTTTGATAGTCATGTGTGTTATAAGTATGGTTTTCCGAAACACCCCAGCACATTTAAATAAACTACCAAAAGATAGTAAGAGTTTGATTATAATTAATTCGAAAGCTTATAATTTTATTGAAATGTTAATACTACCCAGGTAAGTTAGTGTTCTCTAAAATATGAATATTGATTGGCAATATTCAGATACCTTGTAAAATCTATTGAAAATCTATAGAAAATGTAATAAAGTTACATAAAGTGACGGGAAATTATAACTAACTATATTATACTTATGTAGAGTCGTTAGATAACCGTCTGTAAGGACAGGAACGGAATCGGCGAGATGTTGATAAAACAATCTGGTCACGGACCGATCCTATCACTGTACCTTACACGGCGTTTGTGATGTAATCACAATTCATTTAAATTACTGTATTCGTAGGAATTGTATTAAATTACTATGATTTTAGGCTTCCAATGGCTCTATCAAGATTACAAGTTGGTTAACGGTTGGTCTGCAACTTCTTCAAGTTAATAAACTAAGGTAAGACAAGCAATGTTTAGGATGTGAGTTAAGATACCCTGAAAAAAAGAGCCAGCGTCTTAAGGCCGGGTAACAGAGAAAATGGCGAAAATGAGGTTTTCATTTTTCATTTTTGAGGTACTAAACAGTAAAATAAAAGGCTAAGATTTTTTTTGGGCATAGTTGAGGATATTTTCTAGGGCTATTAACGGATGGAAACACGATTTGATGAAGTTGACTCGATAGAATAAATTCCCAAAGTTACCTCTATTCGTTTTCTAATAATGGTTTTATTTTTAAAATAAACGATTTGAGATTCTGAATCTTTTACTAAACTAAAGTTCAGAAATAACTTGAGGGCTTTTAACGNTGGATTAGTTTTTTCGATTAAGAAGAGAGATAAAATTCTGTTAACGCAGTCAAGTAACGATTATTACAAAGTGATTACAAAACCGCTGAAATGCAGATATTATAAAGGCATGTCTTTCTACACTCACTAGTAAATGACAATTCTGCAATATTTTCAGCTAAGAACATTGAATTTAAACCTGCAATTTATCGTTATTTTGTAGGTGTGCGAATTAGCTACAGTAATCAAAAGTAAGGTAACAGTTACGTAACTTCGCACTCACGTTTAGTTACTAGCCAGTGTTGCCAGGACACCTGTTCTTGTACTTTATAGCTGATAGGCAGATTAACTCGTAACTTACATCTTAAGACACAACTTGCATTACTTTACGATGACAATCTGTTTTCTGCTTTTCTCTGTTGTTTTCAGTTAAATATTGAGGTTTATGTTTGTTCGACATTGTTGAGAATATGTTACGCGTATCACAGTTGGCAATGGAACAGTTTATTTGTCTCTGATGTCAGGTTCACATGTTTGAGATTCCTCGCAGACTGTAAAGTGAAAA